CAGGAGTGTCTTCCATCAGTTACACATCACCAAATGGTCAGACAACTAGGTAAGTATATGTGTTTGTGCGTTCTGTGTGAAAATGTGTACCAGGCAGGCACCACGTTAAACATGAGGAATCTGGCAATAGCAAGAATAAGCAGTAGTGGGATTTCCACATTTCGAACCATAACTAAAAAGAGGTGGGGTGCTGATGATGCCAACACCAACATGATACTTTATGAGAAGTGCTTACTATATAGCAATTACTTGAGACAAATATAATTTGTGGATATTTACCAATTGCTTTTTTTGTTAAATGTGTACATATGCAGTGTCATCATTTAAAGAACTACTCATGAAGTGACAGGCTTTGTTAAATAAGCTCTTTCAAATGCTCCAGAAAATGCAAGGATATAGTTATAAAATGGGTAGCACCCATGCTTAGAAGATAAAAGTTCAGATTTACTTGGTGTGGTCATTTGGAAATTGTTGGCATTTACATAGAATGTATCCATAATGTGTTTAGCTTAGTAATTTCCTTAGATTAGGGCCTTCAGTGTAATGAGGAATCAAGATCTTCATTCAGGTTGCTTTAGAAATTATAAAGCCAGTTCAATTTTTTAATCTACTTTTCTTTTTATTATTTAAATACATTCAGAATTTGGTCTGTTTTGAAAGGAAACAAATTGTGTATGCTTAATTTAATTTAGGTATCTACTCTAATAAATAACTTTGTATAATTTTTCTGAGCTACTTCTTGCCATTGAAGAATTAATGAAAAATATAATATGCCTTTTGATACTCATATGAACCTAGTAATTAAGTAATGTTTTTACCTTTTTTCTTTTGCTTCACTTAGATATGGAGAAAATGAAAAATTACCAGAATACATCAAACAGAAATTACAGTGTCTTTCTTCCATCCTTTTGATGTTTTCTAGTCCATCTCCTAGTTTTCATTGATTATAGCTCCTCTTAGTATATAAATTTAATAAATAATGTTTCTGTTGGCTTTCAAGGAAAAGTGACTTTTTCTTATTTAAAATAACTTCTTCAGAAAGCCTTTCTATAAAAGAGAATTTTAATCTATATACCATGACGGATGTATTCTAATGAGAGAACAAAGCAGAATGAAAGTTGAGTCATTACAAAATGTAGTAGTCATAGATTAAAATAGGACACCTTACTTTGCTCTTAGAACATATACCCCCAAATTTACTGTGTTAATACATTTGTATTGAACAATCTTTTACAAAGCAAAAATATAAATGGTGTGTGGTATATTTGTGCTTTTAATGTTTTCCCTAATTCTCAGGCATGTCGAGAATCATGGACAAAACATGCTGAAGTTTTTTAACATGTAAATAATGTGTATTTATGTTATAAGTAACATATGTAAATATGTATATGTTTTATATTTATTTTTGTAGCACCAGTTTCTGATGAAGCATATATGCAAATGCATTTTATAAAAAAATAATAAATACAGTAATAAGTTACTTTATCCTTTGATTTATTTAAATACTCATTGTAAAATAAGTTACTAGTAAACTTGTTTTTAAATTTTGCTGCCTGTTTGTTTAGGAGACGTCAATTAAGAGTTTCCTTTTAAAAATGAAAATAAGTAAAAATTCCTAGCTAAATTTTGAAGGCTTATAACTCAAGTACATTTTGCTTTGACAGAACTTAGGTGTATTTTTTATAATCTCTTTCCATATTAATGTGTTTTCATGTTTCCGGTATTTTTTTATACATAGCATATAGCTGAATTTTGTTTTTTAATCCAATCTAATAACCTCTGTATTCTACATTGTTTATATTTATTGTCATTTCTGATATATTTTACTGTTTACCATTACAGTTCCATTGCATTTTTGTCTACCAACTTATTTTGTGCTTTCTACTTACCATACTTGTTTTGTTTTTTCCTTTCCTGCCTTTCAAGTTGAGTTTCCTTTAATCTCTTTGATTCTCTCTACTGATTTCCTTTGGGAGAGTGGTACAGTGGTATCAGTATGTAGGTTTAGAGCATTATGACTATGACAGTATTCACAGCTGAATGTTGCTGTGTGCTTCCTGCTGCATCACATAACGCTTAACCACTGTTAGTGACATGAAGAATGTCCAGTGGGCTCAGGTGCTGTCTCATTCTGTTATTCCCTTTGTATTTATTAGCTTGCATTCTTCTACAGAAATTAACTTTCCCACATCAATATTTGATTACCCTGATGTTTAGATATAGGAAAGGCAGAATAAACACTTGAGTCTTTATTTTCTGGTTTTCAGAATAAAGAGTTAAAGCCCCAGCAACCTCCAAAGGTGACTAATGAGTTTCTTTTTTTTAAGTTTTTTAAGTATCATTTTGAACTCAGATTTTCATACACTCGGTGTGTTTAAGTCAACTGCAGATATTACTCTTTTCAATGCTTTAGTTGCTCATTTTTGGCCAGTAGGAGTCCCTTTATGTCCCTCTGTGTCCTTTCGGCAAGGCTTGTGTAGTCTTAGATATTGCCCTTGCTTTCTGGCACAAGGTGTCTCAGGCTCACCCTGCCTCACACTGGAACCAGCCATTTCTACAAGGAGCCAGGTGTTTTAGAGACCGTGTTACCTTAAAGGCCTTCCCATTTTTCTTAAAAGTCCAAAATACTTAACCTGGAATACCACGATATAATACCATGCTTCCTAACATTCACCCTTCCAGCTCCCTGTACTTCTCTTACATTGAGGGTAATCATCTGTGTAATCATGTGACTAATGTCTGACTTTCTTGCTAGTATGTAAGGCCCATGATGGTAGGGGCTTTGTATTTTGTTTACTGCTGCATTCCCAACAGTGCCATGGTGATTGGCACATCGTGGGTACCCCTTAGATATGTACTGAGAGTATAAGTAAAATTATAGCCTTATAAGGTACATATATAATCTTGTTTATTAGAAAATGTACATTCACAATGTAGAATACATTAAATTACAAATAAGTTCACAGTGGCCAAAAGTGGTACCCTAAATTTCCTCTCAAAATAGATAAATAGATGCAGGTAAGTAGTGTCTCCTCCCCAAAACAATAAATTACATACAGATTTATTTTACTTTATGAAAGAGAAAAGTTTTATATGAATTGGAAGAGTTAATTTTAATTTTTTTTTTTTTTTAAGCTGAGCCATCCTGCCACCTGTTGGCAGCTCAGCGGCTGCTCAGCTCAGGCCGGGACTCGAACCGCTGTTGCTCAGAGCTCAAACTCTTGAGGAAGCTCTTAACCTAAAGAGCCACTCAGCCGGCCCTTGGAAGAGTTTATTTTAAATGTAGCCAAATGTGGCATGAAGAAACTTTGTGAAGTTATAAATCCCTACAAAATATGACAAGGTTATGTTTAGGTTTTCAAAAACTTCTTAGATACAAACTATTTTTAGCAGTTTTTCATACCTTAGGTTCTCCTATCATCTTTTTCAATTTATACTCAACTTGTCCAACTCAAGACCTCAACTAGGTGATTTTTTTCATCAAACTTTACCTCCCTGCTCTCTCCGTAACCTCATGTCACTTATCTTCTGTGCCAAGATATACACTGGTATAATCCCCTGAGAAGAATATGCTCTCAATAAAAAGGAAGGTGATTGTCATTTTATCTGAATTTTACGTATTATACATTTTTAGAAGTTGGGAAACTTCTCTATGTCATATTCTTACATGGAAACAGGCTAACCGTTAAGCTAAGTTAAAAGCCCAGTCAGCAGGCTTCAAATTATGTTTCTCAAGTACTTCTGCTAATAGTAGTCACCGTTACCCTACAGTTAGCAATTAATTAACTGCTACTGAAATTTCTGGGCTATTTTCCCCACTATGAAAAATATACTGGTTAAGAGTATGGACTCTAAAGACAGACTTATTTAGGCAAGTACCTTAACTTATCTGTGCCTCTGTTTACTCACCTGCAAAATCATAATAGTACCTTCACTCTATAAAACATTTAAACGGTACACATTACCTGGGATATGAGAAGAACTCTATAAATGGTCACTATTATTTTCATCATTACTGTTATTTCTATCATGCACAGTATCTAAACCAAGGGGGAGTTTAATCTTTAGGATCAAAGTACCCCAAAAAGGAATGACAGAGGAAGGAGCTGTACAACATCAGGGAAGACGTATCCCAGGAATTGACCAAAGAGCCAGAAAACTGATAAATCTAACTGAAGCACAGTCTTGCTTTGGGAGGTGGAAAAGAGTGAAAACAGTCTCTAAGGTGGAATCATAGGATGATTTCTGTCAGATTAAGCCTTCTATTACAGCTGAAGAAGTGCAGTTAAGAGTACAGCCAACTTCAGTAGCAAAACATCAATCCAATTAAAAAAGTAGGCAGAGGATCTGAATGGACATTTGTCCAGAGAAGACATACAAATGGTCAACAGGTACGTAAGAAGGTGCTCTACATCACTAATCCTCAGGGAAATACAATCAAAACCACAGTGAAATATCACATCTGTTTTAAATATACCAGCGTGCCAAAAAAACTAGGGGTGCCAATAAAAGGTATAGACATTTTAATGTTATCTTAAAATGTGTATATGTGTGTGTGTGTGTGTGTGTGTATATATATATATATATAGAGAGAGAGAGAGAGTGTATACATTTTTTTGGCACCCTCTGTAATATATAAATGGAATATTATTCAGCCACAAGAAAGATCCTGCCATTTGTGGCAACATGGATGGACCCTGAGGGCATTATGCTAGGTATATCACTTGTATGTGGAATCTAAAAAAGCTGAAGTATTAGAGGCAGAGAGTGGAATGACAGTTGCCAGGGTCTGGGGGATGGAGGAAATGTGGAGATGTTGGTCAAAGGCTACAAACTTACTGTTACAAGATGAATAAGTTGGGCCGGCCGAGTGGATCAGTTGGTTAAGAGCTCGCTCAAGAATTTGAACTCTGAGCAACAGCAGTTCAATTCCCAACCCGAGCTGAGCAGCTGCTGAGCTGCCAACAGGTGGCAGGATGGCTCAGCTTAAAAATAAAAGATTAATAAGTTCTGGGGATCTAAGGTACAGCATGCTGATTATAGCGAATAATGTATTATATACTTAAAAGTTGCTAAGAGAGCAGATCTTAAATGTTGTGACTACAAGAATGGAGTGGTAGTTATGTAATGTGATGGAGGAGCTGATTATGGTGGTAATCAGTCTCCAATATATAAGTGTATCAAATCAACAAGTTGTACACCTTAAACTTACACAATGTTACATGTCAATTATAGCTCAGTAAAGCTGGAAAAAACAAACAAAAGACACAGGGAGAAGATAGCCATCTACAAGCCAAGGAGAGAAGCCTTAGAAGAAATCAGCCTGTCAACACCTTGACCTTGGATGTCTAGCTAGCCTCCAGAACTGAGGAATAAATTTCAGTTGTTCAGGTCTTTAAAAAAAGTGCAGCAAACCTAGTATAAAGTGCAGATTATGGTGTTCAGTCAGGTTTGAAAATATAACAAGAGTAGAAAACGTGGAAAAGTATTTAGAAATATTTTTACTTTTTTGGTAATATTATCCGTATACATAGTTCTGTACTAGTTCCTTTTAACAGCATTCAACTGAGGTAGAGGTAGAGATGTATACACAGAGACCGCATACTCTAGTAAGCTCAGTGAACTGTTAGATTAAAGCCATTTTGCCTCAAGTATTTATAGTCTGACAAGATTGGGGCCATCGTGGTCCACCCAAATATAAGTCTGCAGCTCTGAATAGCTACGCAGACTTAGGCTGAAACCTGCTGTGTCTACTACTCTGCCACTACTAAGAGATGGGAAAAGTAAATAATTAAAGTAATAGATTTTCTCCAGAATTTATAGGAGTTGAAACCAGTAATTATTTTGCTGTTCATTATATGTGTACAATAACACACTGGCTTGTTTCTAAAGTGAGTTACTTATTAGCACTTGAATGAAGAAAGTAGTTAGCCCTACTAAAGGTAGTGAAAGCCATCTTGATCTCTTACTCTTGACTGCTCCAGTATTAGCATCATTTCTACTGATCTGTTAACTTATGGGTTACTTAGTGAGGTAAGGCTGAAGGTGTAGTATTCAAAATAATAACTTAAAGACGAGTATAATTTCACATTCGTAGACCACTGTCCATTCATTCATGAGTTCATACAACCCCCAGAAAGGTGTTATATGAAGAATATTTCTTTAAAAAAAAAGAATATTTCTTTTCTGAGAATGTAACTGTTCACGATTACACATATTAATAGAATTCCCTGTGTTATTAAATATATGTTCTTGTTCCTCAAAATATGCAGTATCTGAAGCCTGACTTTTGGAAACTGACTCATACCAATTGTCAAGCAGAGCCTTAGTAAAGGAAGGCCCATGTAGCAAGTACTTCCATCACAGTCTTAGCGAGGTTGCTCTTGAGTCCATCCATGCCTTACAGAAAAAGCAATGAGTCTTTTGTAGACCACGCACAGCAGTGTGATGGTGAGCACCACTATTCCACACACGAGGCTGAATGCCCATCGTGGGCCCCAGGAGGTGTACACTTGGCTGATGAACACGGGTCCAAGAATCCGTGCTGCACTTCCAGAGGCTGTTAACCAGCCCATATACACACCCTGTGTGGTGGGGAGGGGAGAAGCAGATTGACACTAAAGTTTAGTTATTTTAGAAACAAGGATGATGCTACAATTACCAAGCTATGGGAAACTCACAGGAATCACTTTCTCCATCTTTTGTTTGTGAATTAAATATAAAATGCCTCTCTATAAATACTGCAAATAATGAATAATAAACTTGATAGAGTCAGATTAGGAAAAATAAGTAGATGAAAGGGACAAACTTAATGTCTGCTGAAGCCCTGGGAACAATATGATTTATCAATTTACCTTTTAAGGCTAACATTTATTTTGTACTTGCTATTTTCCAAACACTGTTAGCTGCTTTACATATATTGTTTCCAGGTGTTCACAAATTTCTATGATTGGTGTTATCTCCATTTAACAAATGTGGACACTGAATCAGAAAATTCAAGTAACTTTTCCAAGAGACTTGAAGACATGCTTGGCTGACTCCACTGTACCCGCTTCCGCGAGGCAGCGTGCCGCTCCTCCAAGTACTGCTCCCAAAACTACAGCCCATGCAGTCTGCCCAAGAATGTGCAGCACAGCATTGCTTTTAACATCCCCAAGTGAAAACAGCGTAACTGTCCATAACTGGTACATTGAGGAAATAAATTATGGTACACTTAATGAATGGAATGCTCAGCAGTTGCTTAAAAGAATAAGTAGTCAATATCTCTGATATTTTTGGTCCATTTTACTGCTATATGTTTTCTAATTTTTATATGATAATCATGGAAATTCTTATAAAAACTAATTTTAAAGTATACATAGCTGCTGTATACTTCAAGACTGTTGTTTTCATCTTTTAGGAATTGTTCCTAGGGCCAGAAGCAATTAAGCCTAGATTCAAATGTGCCCATCAGATTTGGTTTTCTAACTGTTGCCTAGCTTAAGAATGAGTTTCAGAACTTTATGCTGCAGTTCTATGAAAATCATTTTTGAGCTCAGTCTCTGAGTTCAAGAGATCTTTGAGTTCTATCTTATAGTATTTTTTGTTAAATTCTAGCATACAAATCCTGTAAGTACTTTACGAAAGGTGTCGGTTTTTTAAAAATTCAAAATGCTGAATATGATAAAAATCCCCCAAGTCAGATTGTGTGAAAATAGAGAATGGTAGCACAAAATGTGAGCGCTTACAAGTCTATTTCACATAATTGCAATGGCAGGGTAACTGACTCACCTGAGGCTTTGGTCCCAGAATTTTTGAGTATAATGTATAGGACATGACATTGCAGGAGGGGTAGCCCATCCCAATTAGCACAGCTGACGTGAGGAACTGGGCCAGATGGATCATGGGGGTGTAGAGGCACCAGGCTTGTTCAGCGGGGCAGCCAATTGGTTCTTCACTGTGATCTGGGCTCGGAGACCTCCAAAGAGTAATAACAATTTCCCCAAATGTGGTATTAGGGATTGAATTATTATGTAAATCTGTAACAACAAAATTAATACAGTACATTACTTGTTAATTTTAGATGAACAACAGGGCTAACGTTATAGAATTATGTATGGCTATACCTTCCCACTGTATTTTGGGGAATTGATTTCCCCAAGGTAACAAGATAAAGAAGCCAACCCATACAACGATGAGTCCTCCCAGTAGAATAGCACGCTCGCCAATCCTGTTAAAGAACAGAAACTCTAATTTAAAAATGAAATATTATAACATAGTTTCATTACTTTTATAATTTAAAAAACTATAATAAACTAGAAAACTATAATTTGGTGATATACCAATTAATCTGAATGCTAAATATAATTTCGCACTAAAAGGAACCAGGATTCCTCTAAAAACTGGCTGATTTCAGGTCTGGGACAGAAAATGTGTTAGATGAACCTGGGCATCTTGTCATACAAGAGGGTACAGGCGGTATCAGTGACTACTGGGTCATGATAAAAGGGCTCCTAGCCAGAATGACCACAAGCATGACAATGTGAACACCAAAAACAACAGTAATGACAATGGACTGAAACACATAAAAAGGTTATAATTTATGAATTCATGCTGGATTAAAATAAAATGCCATTTTAGAGGATGGTATGGAACCAACTCTTTATTTTAAAAATCTGTTGATAAAAGGAAAGAATCACCCCGTCTTTCCTTTACAAAAGAAGGTACAAAAGAATCACCCTGTCTTTCCTATACAAATAAAGGAATGATAGAATTAAAATACTAGCATTTTGCAATGAGAGAGATTAAAAAGAAACATATAGTAAAAAAGATTTAAGAAACTTAAGAGTTTGAGTAACATGATTAAGCCATGGAACAAAATAAAAAAAATCACCCATGTGAAACTAGAGAAAAATCTGAATACTGCCTGGATATTTTATTATATTTAGAAATCACTTAATTTTCTAATTTTAGATGTGATAATGTCATTAACTTTTAGAGATACACACTGAAATATTTATAGAAGATGTGAAATGATGTCTGGGATCGACTTCAGAATCATGCAAGTGTAAGGGACATGGAGGAGGAGGAGGAGGAGGTGTAGATGCATCAAGATTACCAGGGGTCTGTCATTGTTGAGCTGGGTAATGGATATTAGAGATTTGGTACATGATGCTCTCTACACCTTTGTCTATGTTAGAAATTTCCCATAATAAAAAGTGCAATATACAAACAAGACCATAGGCTTCCTAAAACAAAACAAACCCAAACGTTTCCCATCACCCTCAGAATACCCACAAGGCTTTACATCTTTCTAACCTCATCTCACGTTTGCTGTTCTCTCATTCTGCTCTGGTCGGACTGGCCTTCCTGCTTGTCCTGAAACAGGCAAAGCTCAGTCTTTTGGGGGAGGAGAATTCCAGGCCAGTGTGAGGCTGTTCTCTGATTTCTCTGAGGGCTGAGGTCTCCGCTGGGATCTAACTTCCACAAGCATGCCTTCCTTGAGCACTCTATCAAAATAGCATTTCCCCTCTCTCCCAACCCTGCCTTGCCACTCTGTTCTCTGTCTCTGCTCTACTCTCCTTCATAATACTTACCGTATTTCCCCATGTATAAGACGCACCCTTTCCCGAAAAATTTGGGGTCTAAAAACTGGGTGTGTCTTATACAGTGGTTGTAGATCATTGTCAAGTCATTTAAGAAGTGTGGTATTTCAAACGCCATAGATGGAACTGAGGATGAGGCAATCTATGATGACACTGATTAGTCATCAGACACAGATGAGGACAAGCTAATGGTTGGGAGTTTTGACAGTGATGAGGAGTTGTATGCATTTTACGATGAATAAAACTTGAGTTCAATAACTTTATGTAATACACTTTTTTTCAAATTTCGGGCCCCAAAATTAAGGTGCGTCTTATACATGGGAGCGTCTTATACATGGGGAAATACGGTAGTTCCCTACCTGACCTCATATTTGTGTTTACTCGCTTACCCCCAATAGAATACAGGCTCTTTGAAGGTATGGATTGGACAGTCTGTAAGAATGCCTATCAGCAGCACTGCTCTACTTCTGTAGCAAGATGTAATGCATTTCCTACTACTTAACTTTGAATATGAATCTATGTCTATGTTTACATCTATATCTTGGCCCCCTACTTGGCTCTGTAAGAACAGGAATCTTCATAGTATCCCCCATAGCACCTAACTTGGCACACTGACTCAATTTTGCTAACTGATTTTTAGAACTTTATTAAGGTTCTAAAGTACTATTAAAGTATCTCAGAAATAATTACATTGTTAGAGCTGTCTAAATTGATCTACTAATGTCCCACCCCAGATATGAATGAACTTAAATTGTATACAAGCATTTCCCCTAAAGCGTGTTCTTCACAGTTGTACTTTTACAAAATGCTTCTTTAAAAAAGTGTTCTGTGGTCAGTTACAAATAACTTTCAGAAATGCTATATGCTGTATTTGTCATAATGGTGATATAGTATGTATGTACTAAAGATTTAGAAGTTTTGGAGTAAAGAAGTTCGGTTATTTTAACCACAACTTTCCAGACTTAACTATTGAATCTTTTTGTTGCATAACATATTACCATGCAGCAGAACAATGTTTTATGAAATATACTTTTAGAAACACTTTAAATAAAACATTATAGAAGATAATTATTTACTTTGTAAAATATCATGCTTTACTAAAGAATATGTCATATGGCGTAGATCATGCTCCCTTAATACATTTTAAATCTGTTTACTAATGTTAAAGGAGTAAAACTCATACATGAGAGAAAATCTTTAAATTATTTTACTAACACATTCATTTACATTGTTAACTCCGTTTCATGTTTCACTTTTAAAAAACAGACTTGAAACAAAACCAAAGACAGACAACTTACTTTTTGGAGAGTAATTTAATCCCCATGAAAGTAATAACTGCCTCGACTCCAAGAGCAGCAAGTATTATTCCATCATATAATACAGCTTGTTCTCGAGTCCAGGCATACATATCCATTGTTAATGGAGTAACGATGCTAAGAAAAACAAAAAAGAAATTTTATTTAAATCATAGTCCTTGTTACTTAAATTTCAAAGATGTTTTAATAATGATACAGACACATTCAAGAATTTGCACCCCTTTTAACACTAACAGAGGCGCAGGTGAGGGGGATTAGAGACTTACTGTTTGAGTGTAGAGCTTTTGTTTGGAATAATGAAAAAGTTCTGGACTGGCGATGGTGGCACAACATTGTAAATGTTCTTAATGCCACTGAATTGTACAATTAAAAATAGTTAAGATGGTAAATTTTATAGTATGTATTCTTTAGAATTTTTTAAATGCTCCCAAAATCTGATGAGCTGAAACGTCCTTATTTCTCAATAATTTTAAAAATTAAAAAAAAATCAAGCAAATCCACATGTACTGGCATAAAAATGTTACGATGTATTGGTAAGAGAATGAACCAAGTTGTCAAATGGTAATATCACATATTCTATGTTTAATACACACACACACACACACACACACACACACACACACACACACAGACACAGTTGTATGGAAAAAATTTTTGAAAAAATACACACTGAAAAATTAGCAGTTATTGGCAGTGGTTACCTCCAGGGAAAGGAATGGGTGTGGAAATACAGTTGTAGTGCTTGGAATATTTACAACAAGCATGTACTATTTTTATAATGGACAGGCATTTTTTTCCATAAATAATTTTTTTTTCTATTCTGCCATCGTCGACCTTCTCCTCCTAATGGAAAGGTATTTTAAAAGTAGAAAAGCCATATGAGAGCCAAAGGTCAACAAAGCTAACACAAAGCAGAGATTGTGTAATGTGTCATCCTAGTTTGTTTTTGTTTTTTTCAGGATCAGGGCTTAAACAGAGTTAAAACTGCCACACTGAAACCCATATACATATGTAGGGAGTGACATACCTTAATGACAAATTAAAGTTTTATAATTATACTTATCATAAAACAGAGGAAAGGGAGAAAGACTAGTGAAACGGATTATTTTATAAGGGAGATAAGGGTAGATTACAGACAGAATTAACTACATTCAAGTTAAAAATCATAAAATTTATAGTTTTTACATCATGACAAGAAAAAGTTTTTGAGAACATCTATATGCCTGTTTAATACTGCATTAAGGAATACAAGCTTTTTTACATAATTTATTCAGATGCAGACAAAATAAAACTTACGTTTCAAAAAGGGCAAAGATAAACAGGACCACAAAAAACAGAACATTGGTGGTCACAACAGCAACTTGATCGATATTTCCCTGTGGAAGCTGAACTTCATCTGCACTTCCTGTAGTGAACAGGAGAAAAATTATATTCCCTACACGTGGAGAAATTATAGGTAGCAAATTCTATGACTAAATATTTAAAATCATTTTTAGGCTTCAAAACAGTTGAAAAGTAACAATTTATATGACAGAAATAACTTTTAAATGGCATTTAAAAGTTAAGTAACTTTTCTTCTCAAATACACTTCAATTCTATAGGAAATACTCTGATCTATTTGGTGTCTCATTCTAAAAAGGAATGTATAGAATTCTATAAAATCATCTCATACTGAATACATTTCCTTTAAATTTCAGGTGCAGGTTTTTTTTTCTACCTTACCTAAATCTAAACTCATGAAGATTTCATGAAAACCTCAAATAGTTTAAATGAGTTCTCAGTCCTGATTCACTTCAATATATATTTTGAATTTCAATGCTATGTGAAATTAGTCAATTGCCTTATGTCATTATGACAGTTCTTTTAAAAAAAATTTTTATATCTGATTTTTGTGGGGTTTTTGTTGTTTTTTTCCAGAAATTTTATTGGGGAACTGTGTGTTTTTCCAGGACCCATCAGCTCCAAGTCAAGTAGTTGCTTCAGTCTAGTTGTGGAGATCACAGCTCCTTGGCCCATGTGGGAATCGAAGCGGTAACTTTGGTGTTATGGGTCTGTGCTCTAACCATCTAAGCTAACCGGCCGCCCCACGACATTTTTTTTTAACTCCTTATGTTATCGTTTATATTTTTGCAAGAAATATATTTTGCAGAGGACCACCAAGTTCTGATGGTTTTTTTCATAAATTAGGAGGGCCAAGTGAGTATACTGAATTACCTTGAACTATGTAATTAAGCTACACATTCAGTATAAGCTATTCCTGATATAACTGAGAAATATGAAACCTTATAGATCCACTTATATACTCATACATCTGTCATGCTATTTTATAACTTACCCACTTATTCAGAGTAAACCAAGTTAAGTAATGCACAAATGTGTGCATTTATGCTGTCTTTAAGTGTATGTGTAGCAGCAGGGGGCAGGCAGTGAAATTCTTAAGACACAGTAAGTTTCCATAATTTTTTTCATAATAGTATCTGACTTTATATATCAGGATTCCTGAGAAGGAGTTCATTCTCCAATAATAAATGAGGTTTGGAAGTAGCGTGCGATACTTGGGGGCAATTAAGTGCCTTGGAAACAAAACTTAGGGTTATGACCTCTCTTTCTAATCACACAAAGAAAACTGGTTTTAGGATATTGGCTCTTCGAAAACAAGACAAAAGTTTTTTAGCAATCGTTTTAACCCTGGCATTTGTGAACACCAAATAATTGATATCGGTATGCCTTTTTAAAAAAATCAATTTAGGTAACTTTCAACTTTGAAGGTCTTCCCCCAGTCGCTCCTTGTATTATCCTCAGAAGCAAAATCCAAGTACACACCAAACAGACAGAATCATTAGAAATACTTTGACAATGTTATAGTAATTTAGTTAAACAGGTTAATAGTACCTTCTTCAAAATTAATATTTTTACACTGTCGTCCTGAGTCATCCACACGATGTTCTCTTAAAAAGAAAAACATAAATATTGTATCCATGAGAGGCTTAGTATAATAGATAAATGGTTTAAATTTAATACTAGCCTTCTATTTTTTTCAAATTCTGATATAGTTTCTTCTACTAGCTTCTAAGTAATGAAATTATTACCATGAGATATAACCAATAAAACTTAAAAGATACAAGTCATGATTCTTATTATCATATAAAAAAAACCCTAGATTCATCCAAAAACATATATGGTCTATATTAACCAGTATTTGAAGTTTTCCAGTGATTACAAATACTTTTGGACCTGGTTAAAGCACTCCAAAGAAATATAAAGTACAAAGTTTCTGTAGTTTTATCAAATTTCTTCTAATATATAAAAGATAGCAGATAAAATTTCTTCTAATATATAAAAGATAGGAGATATATTTGAAGCAATTTTTGTATTAAAGGTTGATACTAATCATTAATCTACTTAAAATGTTGTTTTCATGACATTCTCCTACTTAAAAACCTATAGTTAGTAAATCAAATCCAAACCTTGAATCTTCAGATTTTATAATCTGTTCTTATTTCTCAGATTGCCTGTTATTTAGGTACAAGCACTATGTGCATTAGCTGATCAAAAAACATGAACACAACTATAGCTATCAAATACGAAATAAAGACTTCATAGGAATAATTATCCCCCAACAATGATAATGTTTATTTAACTTCACAATCTGCAAATATAGTTTTATCATTTCTAATTACCTTAATATAATAAGGATCAGAAGAATATTTAAAACTCCCAGGAAGGCGCCAAGTAAGACTGGTGCTGTATACATGTTTATCTGCAGCTTTATAGTCTCCCATGTCACACCCTTTTCTCCAATGAGTGCAAAACAGGTCTGAAAAACTAATTAAAATGTACACAGATAAATTATTATAAGGGAGGCAGAAGCTAAAAAATGTGAAAGACATTTATCACAAAATGGGAAGTAACATGATGCAATCATCCATCTACATCATCTCACCAAAGGGAAGAAAACTTGGGGAGCAAAAATTTACTTTTTCTATATACTTGTAAAGCACAAATATGCAGAGTCCATAAACGATATGCAGTAGATCTCTTGTGTTAAAACGTCATGGCATGGGGCCGGCCGAGTGGCGCACTGGTTAAGAGCTGGCTTGGGACGCCAGAGGTCCCCGGTTCGGATTCCACATAAAGGCCAGTGACACTGCCCTCTATAGCTAAGATGCTGAACAGCAGCTCAACCTGGAGCTGGGCTGCCGTGAGTCGCCAGCGACGGCAGGTGGGTTGCCATGGGCTACTGTGTGTAGCCAGCAGCCAGCGTGAGCTGCCAGCAGCCGCCATGAGCGGCCATCCAGAAGCCGGCGACTGATCTGCCTCATCCGGGAAGAGCGCAATGATGGTGCCAACTTGGGCTAGTGAAGCAACGTCCTCCACAACTAGACTGAAGAACAAAAGGATAGCAACTTGTCTGTTCCTCTTCCCCCAATTCCCCAATAAAATAAAAAAAAAATCTTTAAGAAAAAAAAAGATCATGGGATGGAGTGGTTAGAAAAAAAAAATCTAAAAAGGCTCCTTAGCAAGTCACTAATGAAAAAGTTTGAGAAACACTGGTGTACATGAATTAATTCACAAGGGGTTATATCTAAAGTAACTTGTCAGTAACTTCTTTTTTAACAAAATCTCCATAGGAAATTTAAATTATCCAATTTCTTCCATAAATAAATTATAAAAGTTTCATCAATTTCATTATAAAAAATGTCACATTTCAAGTAAATATTTTAAAATATTATTGTGTGTACAGTATTTAAATTATATATATTTAATATTTTAAATTTGGATTTGCAGCAAAAAACAAGATTGGGAGAGTCCTGGTTTGCTCTCCTGATTTAGATCCTGTGAGTATATCTGGCTCTTCCAGTGAGTCACATGTAACTGAGGGTGAGGATTAAGTAAGACACCGCCCCTGGAGCGGCACCTAGCACACAGTGGACACTGGGTTAATGCCAGTGCTTGTTGACGTGGTCATTATTGGAAAAGTCATCTAATCCTTTCAGGCCTACGTTTACTCATCTATAATACAAAACTTTAATGGGGCAATCTAAAACACTTTTTTAGGTGGTCAGCATATTTACTGAGAACCTACTGTATTTCCCCATGTATAAGACACTCCCATGTATAAGATGCACCTTAATTTTGGGGCACAAAATTTGAAAAAAATGTATTACATAAAGTTACTGAACTCAAGTTTTAGTCATCATAAAATTCATATAACACTTCATCACTTGCAGGAAATGCAAGTAAAAAAAAATCTACAACCACTGTATAAGATGCACCCAGTTTTTTTACCCCAAATTTTTTGAAAAAGGGTGCGTTACATGGGGAAATATGGTAAGTCTATAAAAGCTACTGTCCTAGATACTGAGGGTAGAGTGGTAAATAAAAAAGACCCAGACTGTGTCTTCATGTACTTTATAATATGCAGTAGATCCAATTATTCTACATCTGTGCTTACGTTTTACTCCAGAATACTAAAGTGAAAATATTAGATATTGGTGAATGATGAATTAGATTCTCTCTGTTGAGCTTTTTCTTGGCTAAATAGGAGGAAGGAATGGAAACTGGGGTGAGCTGTTAATGATGAAGTAAACTGGGTTGGATTCAAACTGATGATATTCAAAACTTCAATATTCAGTGCATGAGCCAATTATATGGTTTTTCAGTGTTATTCTAGGCATAAGGAATTACTAATTATTCAGAAAAAAATTGGTCTTGGGCAAGTATTAAATCTTGTTACTGTTTTTTTATACTCAGTTAAAGGACCGACGCTTTGGAAGAGGAAGAAAATAGTGTTTTTAAAACTTTCATTTTCTTCAACAGTAAAAAGTCTTAATTAAAGGTATGGGCAAAGAGCAAAGGGGTAAAGAACCTCCTGTAACTTATGGGAAATCCTTCAGCTGAAAGGATTTTGTTTCTAATAAATGGAAAAAGACAGCAAACTCTTGCAGAGATGTCAAGCTAAGTGATTACTCACAGAACATATACTTTGGAGTATAGGTTTGAACCTCAGATTCTCTATGCTTTGGTGCCTTAATCTGTAAAAATGGACTGACAGCACTTAATTTAGGAGTTGCCATATATAAAGAGCCTAGTCTCACTGCTGGATCAAAAAATATTAATTTCCCTCCCTTCCCCTTCACCTATGAGGTTTTCTTCTTGGATTTCATTTAAAGTTGAACCTCAAAAGTTTTCCCAAAACAAATTCAAGTAATGAAAGTGAAAAATACTTACCTGGACCTAGAATAAAACCTAATGCTTGACATGCACTTGTGTTCGCCATGGAATTCGTTCTTTCCTGAAGGGAAGTAGCACCAGCAATATATGATCTAACAACTGCTACATTTCCTAAGAAAAGACACAATAATCCAAAGTAACAAAATATCCTTCAGTTTATAGAATTCAACTTATTTTGACTTTATACAGAAGAAGAAATATTAATCTATAGTATAGTCACTGCTTCCTCTTTATGATCTTACAAAGCATGTATATTGAGCCAATGCAATTAATAGAAAATATTAATTTTAGTAATATGAAAACAGTTAAATATTTGAACGAATGAAAAAGCACGACAAAAATGTTAAACTATTTTTCATCATTAACTAGAAAGCACTGAGTGAATAGCATACTACTGATTGCTACAACTATTTTTAAAAGAAAGATACCACAAACTCTGCTTAGACCTGTAATATAAGAAACAAAAAGAAATCCACTAACAATTTAACTCAAAAAAATTTATTGACCACTTATTATGTGCAAGAGACTTTGCTAGGGGTCATGGACTATTTTTAAAAAGTCATAAATTGTCTCTGATTACAAAGTTTACTGTCTGGTTGGTGATACACAGGATGGAAACAGTGCAAAATAGTATAGTATATAAGCAAGGGGCACGGTAGCCTAAGAAAGCTTCGTGGACGATGTGGAACTTGAACTAAATTTTGAAGGATGAAGAATGATAGGAATAGAGGAGAGAAACTATATGTAATGGGAATATCATGAGCGGAGGCAAAACGATAGGAAGCTATTTGTCTGTTTGCAGTCACAGATCTATAATATATAGAATCATGGGATAAGAGTTTAAGAGGAGGTGACACCAGGTGAGACTGGGCTATAAATGTCAGGATGAATGTGACTCTGACACAAGCAAACATATACATACATGCATATTACCTGCTCCAAATCCCACCAGTCCACGAGCAGCCAACATGTAGTATTTATTATGAGAATCTGGGACGTGGACATAAGCATAGAGGCAGTTGGCTGCCACTGAAATGAAGATGGAGACAATAAGAGGTTCTTTTCTTGGTCTATAATTAGACCACAAACCAAATACAGGTGAAGCTACCATTTGGCCAAGACTAAACGAAGCAATCACCCAGCCCAAAAAACTTGCATCAGCTGTCTGATCAATCTGCAGAAAAAAAAGTACAATGCTTTAAGAATTGTTATCTAAGAAAAATAACATATAAAACCTAAATACATTTTTACTAATATTTCGTATTAAAAAAATAAAAACAATAATTCTAACGTAAGTTTTATAACTATAATATGGGATTACAAACAAGTGTGCTAACAATTCACTATACACAAGGAAAAATGCTTGGGAAGCATCTTTTGGAATGATTATGGAACTATCTGGTTCATAAAAATCTAGTTAAAAAGATTATCATGTGTACATATAAAACATCATAAAAATAAAAAATTCTTTAGTTTTATAAAGTAAATTATTAGACTTACGTTATTCCATAAGCTAAGCAGCCATTAGCATGGTAAATCTTTTTTTTTTTTTTAAACTGGGCACCCGTAGTCAAATACTTAAAGAAGACAAAACACAAAAGCTGAAAGACAGCTTTCTCATTAAACCAATTACTAATGTTTCCTTTCAACATAGACAATTCAGGATTCTAGCACTTGAAAAAGGTTTCTAGGTTATGGTGGTTTTCAGGATAAAATCTAAACTGATTATTATGAGAAACTAACTCACAAGCTGGGCACTGTCTCTCCCCTCTAACTTCATCACTCTGCACGCTCCCGCCTCCCAATTCTAACTTCTAGCCTCGTAGAACTGTTTGAAGTTCCCAAAATGACCCAAATTCTTGCCTCTACACCTTTGCACAGGTCCCTCTACTGTCCCTTCCACCAGCAATGCCTTCCCAACCTCCTGCTCCTGGGCCCCCTCCTTTCCTTCAGGCGACCAACTCCTGCAGGCCTTCAAAACTTGGCTCAGGTGTAAGTGATTTGGGAAAGTCTCCCAGGATCTTAGTCTGGACAAGCAACAGTCCCCCAACAACCCATGTCTGTCTACCTGTGTCTGTGTGTATGTATATCTGTATGCCTGTCTCTGTCTCACAAACACACACACACACTTACTTTCAGACCTTTACCCACTTATATTGTATGGTTATTATCTGTAAACTTGTTTGGTTTTACATACTTCAATGAAAGTTGGATGTATATCTTCTCTAAAAAAATCTTAAAAAACAAAAAACCCAAAGTGTGTGGTACTGTATTTCAAAACATTCTCTAAACACATTAATATTGACAAAGTCAAAGTTCTAGAAATCTTAATGCTTTGCTATGTGAGCTAAGATATAAATACAGGTGTCCCAAGCCTCCTCAACTATTTACTTACAGATTATTGCTTATTCATGTAATTAACAGTCATTGAGGCCTTTACTATGACAAAAACTAGGCAATAGGGATACAAAGATGAATAAGCACAGTTGCAGGCATCAGGATGTTTTCGAACCAGGTTGTACTTACTGGGTTCTGAAAAATCCTGTATTGGAGTAGCCGGGGGCTGGGGAATAGCATGCTTTATTTTATCTGTCAAATGAAGACAACTTGACAGAGCTGTTAGGGGAATTATTTGAGCCAACACATGTATAATGCTTAGCGCCATGTCAGCATGTTCTCTGCACCTATACAATATAAAACTAGTATTTCTTAATATATTTTTACTAATATGCCAGTTTTATTATTTTTTATTGTAACTCATGCATGAGTGTTCCCACTATTTCCCTAGGCCTATAACCTATCTTTGCAATTCAAAATCTGGGTTTAAGAATATGAGTCTTCCTGGAAATGAGTTGTCCCCATCTCTGGACAACAGAGCCTAAAGAATCACTTGACTGATGGCTATCTATCAGCTAGGGCCAGCCGTCCAATGCAGAGATTCGAAGTAGTGCCAGATTTCTTCAGACAGGGTGACAGACAATTTAGTAGTAATTGTTTTTTCTGGGTTTTTGACATAGCTTTTTATCCTTCTCACAGATGGCTTTTAAGCTAAGTAATATTTGGTAATATATTATCATCAAAGAGATAGTAGCCTTAAATTAAGAATTAAAACTTTTAAGGTAGTAGGTAACATAGCAGCTGTGGTTAAGAATCAAATTTTGGTTTCAGATACACTTGATTCTGCCATTTTCTAGCTGTGTGACCTTGGGCAACCTACCCTAACTTCTCTGAGTCTGAGTGTCTTTACCTGTCAAACAGGAGTGATAATAAGCATTTCACACGGTTGTTGTGAAAGCTTCAGTACTGTGCCTGACACACAGTGAACTCTCAATATTATGATGAAATAACTTGAAAAAAATAATTGACAGTTTTTTTGGTGAAAATGTTACATTTGTTTTACCAAAGAACGTTATAAGTTCATATAGTCAATAAATTTACCGTTGAAGAGCTTTCGAAGATCTGTGTACCTTTTCATAATTCAACATATTGTGCTGAGTAGACTTAATTGTAAACACCTTGCATTTGAGAATTTTGAGGTTAAATAGACTAGATACAGGGACCATAGAAATCAAAAGAGCTGTGATACATGGAAAAATATTTTTAGCAAAGAAGATAGTGCTCCACAATTGCTAAATATTCTGTTTCAATTCCAATAACTCTGCTAGTATAGAAAGAATTTTTAGTGTCATGGTAATAATTTCATGTAATATAATTTTTTAAATTAACTTTTAAAATAGCAGTGTAAATGTGGCAGTAAATCTAGTTTAGTTTCTTTTTATTAGGGAGAAGCCATCGATGGGATGCGAAAGGGGCTAATAAGTAGGTGACCGTACATGTGCATGTGCCTGGGACTGTCCAGCTATAATCTTGTTTTCCTGGAATAGCGCTCCTCTCACTTCGAGACTGTTCAGGTTTGCACAAGAAAGCATGTGATCACCTTACTCATAAGCCTTTTTTGAGCAATTATTATCTCAAGTTATACTAGTAACAATTAAATCAGAGAATACCGAAGAGACTCTAGAAAACTCTTAACTACATAAGAGTTACTGCTACAACAGATACTTAAGAGAAGAATAGTTGACATGTACAAACCTTTTGGAGATATGGCCATATTGACATTATCACAATGGAAAATCCTGTAAAGAGACAAACTATTATTTACACTTATAATAATTTTACCCTATTTATAGGTACAATTTTTTTAACTATAACATGGGTTTGTTCATTTTTAATTAAAGTTTATTGGGGTGACAATTGTTAGTAAAGTTACATAGGTTTCAGGTGTAGAATTCTGTAATTGTACACCTGAAAACTATAGCATGGGTTTTAAAATATCATTCTGCATTTACAAATTTATGCCCCAAAATGTCTAATTTATCAAGCAATGAGGTTTTGTCAGAAGAAAAATAAATATTAAAGGCTTGAAAAGAATATGTAATTATAGTCCTTGGCCATAATTAATACAAGAAAATCAGTTCTGACCAGTGAGAAGTAAGGGAAGGGTTATTTTGGGACCTCTGGGAAAGGACTCCTTATCTCTCTGGAGGTTTAAGAGAAGTCAATTTCCATCAATAAAAACTCGCCTGAATAGATGTGACACCTGGAACTGCTGCTATAATCACCTATAGCCTAAGAATTGAAGCCAATATGTAGACGAGGGCAAAACCCAAAGAAGTTAGTTATAGGGAAGCAGAGCCAAAGCCCCAGTCAATTGGAATCAACAGTTTTCCCCTGGTATTTGAGGAAGGCACCCTAACAGATACACAATCCAATGTGAAATTGTATTACAGAGAATTGTTGAAAATATTCTTTATTTTGTCTTTTTCTTTAGTTTAGCTTTATTTAAAATTTATTTTTACTCAGTGTTGAATCATGAACAAGACTGGTATGTGAAAGAGAACAAGAGGGTGACTGGGATAAACAGAAAAGATTTGGAAAACAAGTTAGTAAAATGCCCTTTACTAAGTCGATCTAAGGCAGCGGTTCTCAACCTTCCTAATGCCGCAACCCCTTAATACAGTTCCTCATGTTGTGGTGACCCCCAATCATAAAATTATTTTCGTTGCTACTCTATAACTGTAATTTTGTTACTGTTATGAATCGTAATGTAAGTATCTTTTTGTTTTCCGATGGTCTTAGGCGACCCCTGTGAAAGGGTCGTTCGACCCCCAAAGGGGTCGCGACGCACAGGTTGAGAACTGCTGATCTAAGGGAACTTGTAAAATTAGTGTCTACAGACTTAGAGAGTCTAGGCTTGAAAAAAAGTTGATTCCCTAAAACATTCCTTTAAAAGCTATCATAGCATCGATAATTCCCATATATTTTCATTCCTTGTCATTTTAATATGATAATTACAGTTCTTAATATTAAAAAATATTTCCTCATGAAGTTTTACTGTGTAGTAACTGTATTTTCAGATGTAATGTTAATAGATTAAAATACATCGAGCTATACAAATTCAGATTCTTGCACTTTACTATCTGTATGTTATGTGTCAAGATAAAAATTAAATGAGGTTCACAGGTAACAAAAGGAAACAAATAGATAAACTGGGCTACATCAAAATTTAACAGTTATCTGAATCAAAAGACACAATCAGCAGTGAAAAGAAGAGTCCCAGAATGGTAGAACATATTTGCAAATCATATATTTGGTAAGGGGTTAATATACAGAATATATAAAGACCTTCTACAACTTATTAACAACCTGATTAAAAAGTGGGCAAAGTAGACATTTCTCTAAAGATACACAAATGGCTACTATGCACATGGAAAGATGCCTACAGGGAAATCCAAATCAAAACCACTAGATACCACCTCACGCCCATTAGGATAACCACTATTAATATTAAGTAAACAAAAAATAAGAGTTGGTGAGGACGTGTAAAAATGTGAACCCCGCCTGTTGGTGGGATATATAAATAGTGCAGCAGCTCTGGAAAACAGTATAGCAGTTCCTCAAAAAATTAAAAATACAATTATCATATGATCCAGCAATTCCACTTCTGAGTATATACTCAAAAGAACTAAAAGCAGAATGTTGAAGAGATATTCGCACAACCATGTTCAAGCAGCTATTCATAAGAGATGAAAGGTGGAAACAACCCAAGTGTTTATCAATGGATGAAGGGATAAACAAAATGAGGAATATACTGAAGGGGAGCAGAACCACCCCAAAAAAGGCTGCATTGATTATTTTGAGCTGAAGGCAACTAACAAACAATACATGCAGGAAGGGCTCTCTGCCATCCCCCTTTCTGCCTAAAATCAGGGTATAAATTTCCTCTGACAAAGGTGCTCTCCCGGTACCACCAAGAAGAGAACATTCTTATCCCTGGAGAGGGAGAGTCCATGCTGAGATGAGTCCACACAAGCAAACCTTGCTAAGATAACCTTTATCTTCACCTAGTTTCTCCCATATAGTTCCTAGTTACTTTCCCACAATTTACCATCCTAGAAGCCCAAACCTCTTGCCTTTATCTAGTTCTTCACAATTATTACCCTTTGTTAAAATGGCAGATAAGCCCCCAAGTATAAACATTTCTTTGGGGTTTTCACTTTTCTATGAAGCCCCCTGTGTTATGTAAAAATATTAACATCAAGTAAATCTGTACCCTTTTCTCAGATTGATCTGTCTTTTGAGTCAGTTTAATTTGTAGGCCCCAGCTACAGAACCTAAGAAGAGAGAGGAAAGTTTTTCCTCCCCTATAATATATACAATGGAATATTATTCAGCCTTAAAAAGGAGAGTAATGTTGACGCATGCTACAACATGGATAAACTTTGAGAACATTATGCTAAATGAAACAAACTAGTCATAAAAAGAAAAATACTGTATGATTCCATTTATATGAAGTATCTAGAGTACTCAAATTCATAGGAACAGGAAGTACGATGAGGGTTGCGAAGGGCGAGGAGGAGTGGGAAATGAGTTGTTTTTAATGGGTGAAGAGTTTCAGTTTTGCAAGATGAAAAAATTCTGGAGATTGGTTACACAACCATGTATATATACTTAATACTTCTGGTCTTAGAAATGGTTAGGTTGGTAAATTTTAAGTTATATGGTTTTTACCATAATAAAAAATAGTTTTAAAAATTAAATGATATTTTTATATAAATTTTTTAAATCATGTAATTTCTAATACTTACCTACACTGCTGAGAAACATAGTAAGATACAGAATCCTAATAGATCTCCATCGGCTCTTATAGTGCTCCTCGGTTTCTATAATATCCCATTCTCTAGGTATAAAGGAGAAAAGAGTAGTATATTTATCTCATTATATGCAAATCTTTCTATGGCACACTTTTATTTTCTTTCTGCTGAAGTCACGAAAATGATATGACAGAGGTATAATTTACTAATATTGGTTTTTGTCATACTAATTCATCTATGAATAAGCATTATTTCTTTGAATTTCCATGGGTTGTATTTATGCATCACTGTACATAGAAACTTGGGAGGCACAAGGTAGCTTAAAAAGGCAAAACATTTTGCACACCAAATATTTTGCTATTGTTAACATGTTACACATTTATTATTCAAGAGTGTTGATATTTGTTAAACTGACAAAATGAATAAAAGTATGTCTAAAAAAATCAAGTAAACTAGCTATAACAATTAGATCTCCCATAGGTGGGTTATATATAATTACTAGGTATTAAAGGTAATTACTGTCATCATTAGGACATGCTGCTACTTCATGACAGCAAACTATCTTTGCTGCAGGAAGCTATTGGGTCGTTGGCAAAGTCATGACATATTTTTCTATGTTTTTCAATGCAGAAATGTCATGACTTTCCCGACGACCCAATATTTTGGCTGTGTAATTTCAGAATTGATGAAGAAGCGACACCAGGAAGGTTTGATGTGACCTAAGACATTCCTAGCCTGAGACCTCCCAGGACACTTGCCTTTCATCCAGCATGTGTTCTATTAGTGGACCAAGAGAGACCCAGGCCCCTCCAGACTGAGTTGATCTTTCATATAGGCCTGTGACCTGGACTAAGGGCAAGTATATTAACCAGAGATCAGTGTGTGTAGTCATTACATTTTCACATATGCATACACAAGTTAAATTTAGCTTAACATAAGAATTATATTTTCAAATAATTAAGACATGCAAGACGGACAAAATACCTTCTTCTTTTCCAAGATTATTTTCTAAAATAGACCTTAGAGTCAAATTAGTCTTCAAAAAGGAAGGTTTTTTGTTTTTTGTTTTCCAAATGTGATGTGATTGGGGGTGGTAGAGAGGAAAGGAAGAGAGAGAACATTAGATCCACTATGTGCCAGGTATATTAAATTAGTTCCTGATATAACATATATGATGAGCTTAACACTATGTATGTCATTCCATCAAAATAGGAGAGATCTTTAGCCCTTTGTCAAACTTCCATTATCTAATTGCACACAACTCTATTAAGTTTATATGTGGTTTTCAACCCAGCAGCAAACTAGAAGTCCCAAAGTAAAGTAGGGAGAAGAGAGGTTGCTGACAGCAACCAAAACAGGTTGCCAACAGGTAACAAAAACATGATGAGGGATAGTCTGCCAGGAACAGAATAGGCAGAAAAGCTAAAATGCAGACATAAGACTTAAAAAGTATAGTATATAATGAATTAGTACAGAAGCAAAAAGTCCAAAATGCATCAATAGGCTGAGGACATTACTCTATTACAGTATTTCAGCATTGATATTAACTGTAATGATCTCAAGATAAAATATAGATAAAATTGCATTAAATATATTTAGTAAGTCAAAAACCAGAGAAATACATTTTCCGAAGAGTTTCAAGCAAAGTGGTAGAAATAAAGGTTTAGAGCTTAAGTGGGACAAATGAGCAAAAATTAACGTGGTCATAGCTTAAATTTAACTGTGTATTTATTAATTTACTAGATATAATTGCTGTGTTTCAAAAATGATACTTAACTCTGATTCCCTAAAGGCAAAAATGCATACTTAATTAAGTAGTAAGAGGCAAACTAACAATTCTGAATTACTGTCCATAAAGTAGGATCAAAATAATCAGAATTATAAGGGTCAAATCCACTTCATGCCTGAAATGCTAAAACAATTAGTCTTTATTTATATATTTGGCATAGGACAAAAGTGAACCCATTTTAGACAGGTTTACTTATATCTTCAAGTATGAATTAAAACCATAATTTTTGTGAAATGCGTCAAGTGCTCAGCTTTGGAAAAGGCCAAATGCAGAATAGCTTGGCGCCTGCACCTTTGAAGTGAAAGTCCAAGAGGCAGTTTGAGTTTCTGAAACTCAGACACCTGCTCCAAAACCCGCCGGTTCATCGACAGTCGCCCTTTCTCAGCGGTGGGAGCTCACCTCCGGGTCTCGCGCGACCAGCCCGGGCTCCCGCCGCCCTAGCACCCCTAGTTCTGCCCCGTACGGCTGGCGCCAGGAAGGCGGCCAGTGCCAGCGCAGGAGAGAGAGTGCCTTCCCCCAACATCCGCTCACCTGCTTCCGGGTGTCTGGTCACCTAAGAGCGGCTCCTGCTCAGCCTGGATCCCCAAGCTCGCCATAGTTATAACGCCTAAAAGGAGGTGTGATGCTAACTCTCGCGACACTTCCTGTTCCCTCACATCTCACACGACCTAAGCTGTCAAAACAAGCCAGCAAGTGCGCGTGCGCACCCGTCGGCTAAAAGTGGTCGGAGGTGCGATCACGCGGGCCTCTGGACGGGGCGGGGTGGGGCGGGGCGGGAGGCGGAGTCAGGGGCGGGGCCCCGTGTCCTCGTCCTCCTCCTTGGGTCCGCGCCTCTGGTCTCCCGGGACTGGAGGCGAGCTGAGGAGTGTCCAGGGGCGTGTCTAAACCGCCCCTCGCCCCCCGGCTCTTCGGACTCCTGGGGCTTCGCTGTGTGAGGCCCCCGGGTCCTGCGTTCCTGGAAAGGCTGCTGTCGCTGCGGTTGGGGCTCGGACGGAAGGCGAGTCTCGGGAGGCGCGGAACGGCGGTGCTGGGAGACTCGACCACCTGGAGAGCAGGTCCAGCCCAGCGGCCAGTAAGTCGCGGGTTCAGGCCGCGCTCCGCGAGCCGTTCGACGCGCGGCGTACGTGCCATGAGGCAGGGACGCGGGGCGCAGGGCTTGGCTGGGGACTCGGGAGTCCAGGGCGCTGGGGGAGCGGCCTGGGTGAGGTGGGCTGGCGCGCGGTCCTTTCCCTCTGTGGAAGGTGGAAGTGGCTTCGCGCTTTTTCTCGCTCGGCTAACTGCAAAGGCACCTTACCGGTAGTGCCTAGTTAGGGCCTCGATGGGGTCCAGACCCCTCTCATTTCTTGATGCCCAGATCCTCAGGCCACAGCCTCCTACGCCCACTGGGGTCATCAGCCTTGCAAGGTGCCACTCAGCACAGCCTGCTGCTGTAACCTAGGGGTTAGAAAAGGCACAGCTCCAGGTTAACAATGATTGGCTCCTTTCATCACAAGGAAGATGGCATTTTTAGAAAATAATGGGTTTTTGTCCCAGTAGATCTTGATGCTGTTTCTTTCCTGGTGTTGACATATTAACATCTTACTCCTACAAGTAGGCTTGTAAACGAATTGATAGCAGTAGTCATATGTATCATATCATAATTACTCTTTTATTAGTACCAATACATTCTCATGTAATTTCATTTGCTCACAACTGTCCTATGAGATAGGTAAAGCAGGCACATTTCTATTTTACATGGAACTAAGGTCCAGAGAACTTAATAACTTACCCAGAGTCACTCACTTGGTGTGAAAGTGGCAGAGTTGGACCTAATTTCAGTTCTTTTCAGCTAATATTTATGAGCAGCTTCCCTATACCAGGCCCTGTCCTAATTATATGATGTGTAGTATATGCCATCAGTTCTGACCTTTATCTTGTTTGTGACCTTCTTGGGTGTATCCTATCAGACACATTCCACTGGTAAACAGCTAAACTTTAAATGTGCTTTCCATTAGCTCAGAGTTATCTTCTGAATCCAGAACTGACATTTTGTACTTGGATTCAGTCTTGTAAATTTGTTTGTTAGCAGCTCACAGAAACACATCAGATTCCTATGATTGATTCCAAAAAGGTACATCGTTAAAAAAATAAGTATATTTTGCCATAATGTTACTTTACTGTATTGTCAGCTTCTTTTTTAATTCATGGGGTCTAGCACAGTGTATGGTGTGTGTGTGTTTGTGTGTGTGAATATATATATATATATACACACACATATGTATGTATATATTACTATATATATCACGTTTTACATATATATATATATATATATATATATTTTACAAAGGGACTTTTATCGTTTTTTGTTTGTTTTTCGTTTATTCTTTTTTTTTTTCTTTTTACAAAGGGACTTTTAACCAGTATTGCACCAAGCAGAATGGTTGCTAAATAAATGTGTGTTGAATGAATGCTTATTGAATTACCTAATTTCATCCCTACAACAGCCCTCTGAGATGGGATTGTCTCAAGCATGCCAGGAAACTCAAAGCACAGAGACTAAGTAAGTGGCCTAGGGTCACAGCTAAAAAGCAACACAGGTAGAATCCAAGAAACATGGGATTCCTGACTGTAAAGCCTGTGCTTTTCACCACTAGCCTTTCTGTGAAAAAAAAAATGTGAAAAAGAATCTTTTCCTATATCTCTTAAAATATATCATAACAGGTAACCAATTTTTGTATAAGTGAAATAATTTTGTATTAGGCCAGGTATTATTCCACTTTTATAGGTTAAGGTGGCTTACTCAAGGTCACACAGCTAGTGGAGAAACCCAGGTCTTCTGACTGCTATTTTCCATTGCTGCCTCCAAGTGATGACTTTAGAGCACAAAAGTACATGGTATGGAGTGCATGTAAACCTGGTGAAGTCTAAATAAGCTCTGTGTATTGTACGAATAAAATTTAAAAAAAAAAGAAAGAAGAAAGAAAAACAATTATTTCTTAGGGACACACACAGCATCCAAACAAAGTAAACATTTTAAAAAACCTTTCAAGGGGCCGGCCGAGTAGCTCAGTTGGTTAAGAGCTCGCTCAAGAGTTTGAGCTCTGAGCAACAGCGGTTCGATGCCCAGCCCGAGCTGAGCTGCCGCCGAGCTGCCAACAGGTGGCAGGATGGCTCAGCTAAAAACAAAACAAAACAAAAAAAACCTTTCAAGTTATTTTTTTAAAAAAAAACAAAACCATGGAACAGAACAGCTAAGTTGGAAAAGAGATTAGATTATTTGCGGAATGTTTCACATAAGGATATGAGACAGTCCACCTTGTGGATGACTGCTTAAAATACATATCCACCCCTACAAATAAATGAACAAATAAACTTGCAATTTTCCTACTCTTCTCCAGTATAAGATTTAAAAGAATTAAATTTGTTGAGGTCGGGTATTAGATTTTATTAGTGGATATCTGAGGTATCTAAACCCCTTTTTTGCTACTTAAACTTGTATTGAAAAGAAGTGATTTAAAAATGAAGTTAAAAATAGGTTTGCACTTTTGTGGAGTACAGTTCATGGTGTTAATTTTTTTTAGATTTCATTTATGCCTTTGAGATATGTATCAATTATATGAGACTAAAAGCCCAGAAATGGTTAGGATTGCATTGTTTAAATGCTTAAGTACTTGCATAATAGGAGGTAAAAGTACTAGATGGCATAACACATGCTGAGTGCCACTTTGGCAGTAGAGCTCATTTTTAGGAAAGACTTTTCATTCCTTAGCAATATACAAGGCTTCTATTTTTGTTTCACTTTGTTTGTTCTTTCTCATTGGCTGTATAAAAGTAGATGACAGTTGTGTCAGTTTGGCTTGATACATACGGTACTTCAAAAGTGGGTCCTGTTTACGCAGAAGCTCACTAGTGTCAGCCCAGCCTGATGTGGGGACTCCAGGTGATGTCTGCTTTTGGTAAATTGAGGGTGTCTTTATCCTGGGCTTGTGCTATTATCTTTTCATGTGGCATTGGATAGCCCTTAGCCCTGCCTGGAAAGATCTACAGGTTTAGAATGGCCCAGAAACCCTGGTCTTCTGCACTGTTCTTAGGACTGAAATAGGATTTAAAAAGATCTGTGAAACCCCAAACTCCAGAACCAAATTATATTAAGTTATGTGTATGTTTGATTTGCTTTCTGTTCCTCATTGGTCAGTTGTGTATTGACATATAAATACAGCTAGAGATATGTTGGCTCTAGATTTGGAGTGCTGACTCTTATGGCCTACATTACATGGAATTAAAGTGATTTGGAAAGCTTTTCTAATATAGGGTTGAAACTCAGAAATGACTGAACTTTATAAAATATCTGAGTAGTACTTTATAAAATATTTGAAGAGTTCATTGTTCTCAGGTTTGTTCCTTCTTCCCTTGCAACTTTCTACTTTAGTATTTGTCTTACTTTGTTTTTATCTATTACCAACCTAGAAGAACATTGCGTAGAAAATGGGATGTCTCAACACCAGTTTAGTACTTCTTACTGTCAAATATGAGTGTTGAAATTTTGATTATTTTTTTTACACCACCATGGAATCTGCTTATTGCTGTTGATGCCATGGGTGTTGCCAGGAAGACACTGACCGCCTACCTTTTCCTACCACTATGGAGAGAGTAAGTAGTCTATAATGCTCCCAAAAGACAGTGAAGTCCTGCATTATAATGACGTGGCAGTGCTCTACTGCAGTTTAGTAAATGTACACAAAAATGTGTCCGTGCTATTTTTTGAACAATTCCTGAATGACCCAAGGAATAACATAATTAAAATCATCATCTCTCAGAATTGTCTTTCCTTATGCTATAGAACCCCACTGAATAGAGGTGCATATATAAACATATAAAAAGGGCTGGCCTCTTATTTGGAATATGGAGCACTAATTTATAATTTTGGTAATTGAGTAAAAAATAAACTTCCATTTTTCACCCTAGCTGGGTATACTTCAATCCAACTCTGACATTAATCATTCACAGATGTACACCATAGGAATTAGTGCAGATCCCACAGGTTAAGGACTCAGTCCTCCAGATGCTATTACTTCAGATTCCAGCCACACTGTAACTGACTTAGCTACAAATGTGGGGGTTCCTGTGACCCCTGTAGATTAGTAATTTGCTAGGACAACTCGAATCAGAAAACCACTGTACTTATGATTACAGGTTTATAATAAAGCATACAATTTAGGAACAGCCAAATGAAGAGAGGAATGAGACCAGGTATAGGAGGGGATGCGGAGCTTCCATGCCCTCTCCAAGGGGAGGGCATCGCCCTGCTGCACATCATGTTCATTCACCAAGAAACCCTACCAAGCATCAGTATCCAGAGGTCTACTCAGTCTCTAGTTCCCTTCCCCTCTTGGAGGTCAGTGGCCCAAAGTCAGCCTTCTAATCAAATGGTTGGTCTTTTTTGGTGATCAGCCAGAAAGTATTCTGAGACTATCTAGGGACTCACTGGGAGTCACCTCATTAGCAAAATAAACTCACCCCTCTAAGGAAATTCCAAGGGTTTTAGGAGCTCCAGGCCAGGAACTGGGTTAAAGACCAGATAAATTCTTTAGTATATCACACTGATATTTACCCTTCAAGAAAAAGCTAGTCAAGCAATTTAAACATAAACTACCTATATTTTCTTGATTTTAATAATTGCACTAAAGTAGAAAAAAAAATATATATATATAAATAATGAGGACAACATTTCAGAAACCAGTTTTTCTTTTACCATTTGTTTAATGAATAAAAAACAAAATACTAAGAGGCAAGGGCTTATATTTTGTTTGGGGGGATTTTTTTGGTTTTGTGGGCAAAAATTTTCAGTGGAGATATATATGCATGATTTAGACAAACTTTCAAGAGATCACTTGCTTATAAACAAATATTATTCAGGTCTATGGAATTTGTTTTCCTCTTAGGAAAATGGGAAGTGGGTAATTATCACCTCTGGTATTGAAAGCTCAGAGGATGTCAGCCCTTCTACTCAAATGCTAAGGAGGACTGTCTCTGAGGTGACCCTCAGGATCTCATCACCTGATATTCCAGCCTTTGTGTAATCCCCTCCCTTTG